CCAGCCCCTCCCTGTTCATATGATTTTCTGAGGTGGGTCTGGTAAACAATTCCAGAACCCCCTATCGTCCCTTTCGGAAAGAACTTCCTAGACAGGCAAGTCTCAGGACAGAAGGCTCTGCAGTATCCTGCCTGAATTCTGTCTAGGCTTATGGTCTGCCATGTGGAGCTGTGTGGCTTTGAGCACTCTCTTCACTTCTCTGGGCCTCAGAAACATGGATGCCTTGGCCTATGGGGTATCTCATAGGCCTTCCATGTTAGGATCCTACCCGCATACAGCCATGTACCTGGGAAAACTGACCTTTTCTTCATGGCTAGTATGAGGCTGTGTGCCTTCATCTTGGCTCGGCAGACCCGTCACACAGATGGCTGGGACTCCCCGGCTCTTCCCAGTCTGACATTTCCAGATCATGCTGAGCTTTCCCAAGTACCTGCCCCACTCTGCCTTCAGAGGGCAGAGCTGGGGTGGTATACAGAGTGGCTCTGCTTTTTATCAACCCTCACAGTCTCACTCGGAATAGACATAGAAACTAAGAAAACAATAGCAATGTGCGTCTAGGGGAAAGTACAGGGCTAAGACAAAGCCTTCAGCTCCCCTGTAATCCGACAACCACTCCTAGACCTGTCCTCTGTACACATCTGGAAGCTTCTAAAGGAGTCAGATCTTGGACCCTCCCTTGGGAACCTCAGCCCCTCCATGGCCCAACCTTGGGACCCTGCGTCTGCACTAACTTGCCTGCCACAAAGGCATCTTTGTTCTGGTGTCACACAGAACACGCAAAGGCAGAGCTGTCGTGAATTTCAGGGATTGTCTCTTTTGTATTTTCTTTGACCAGGGAAGAGACCAAGGCCAGAAATGGGATGTGACTTGACCAAAGTCACACGGCTGGTAAGTGCCATAGCCAGGCCTTGAACTTGGGGCTTCTCACTTTACGTGTTTTTTTTTTTTTTTTTCATTTATTTTACTAGATTGGACAGGAGAGTCTCCCCTGCTGATTGTCACCTAGCGTTTGAGATGCAGTCCAGCAAACTGAGAAAAGTGAAAGGAGTTGGGCTCACTCCTGGGCACCTTGCCTAGGGAACTGGTAGCCAGCTTTTTGCTCCAGAAGAGGCTCCAAGGGGCTAGGTGGGAAGCAGGAGGCCATTAGGACCCAGAAGCTCTTGGAGCATCCTGCTCTGCCGGCTGCTTCTCATCGCTCACTGCAGTGGTTCAGGCTTCAGCAGCCTTGGAGAAGCATCAGCTGAGAGAAGCTATCACATGGGAGCCGGGAGCTGCTCAGCAAAGGTAGGAGTTGCCGACTAGGCCAGGAATGGGGGCCAGATCCAGGGCCTGGTGATGAGTGCCGAGGTACCCCACGGGAGGACAGCATTCCAAAGACTGGCCCACCATACCTTATGGTGGGCAGTTCTGTCAGGGGTTGGGCACCCAGGTATCCCAAAGGTGATATTGGGGTGTGGGTATCTGTGAAGCCTAGTGATGGGGGCTGATCATCTCCTGCTGATAAGAGTACCCACATCCTGCAGACAGCGTTCTCCATCTGTCTTGCTCCATGTCACAGAGATGGGTCCCCCACGTACGGGGAATGGGTTCTTCGGCATCCAGGCTGCCGGGTAACTGTGTCCTGGGTGTGGGCAACTCTGCTGAGGAGAGGTGTTGTGGCTCCCTGGAAATTTCCCCTGGCTTAGGAGGGGCATGGTCCTGTCTGAAAGAAGGCTGGGCTTGGGTCCTTGGGGTGGAAGCTCTGTATCTGGGAGACAGGTGTATGTGAATCCTGACAGCACCTCCGTGGCCTTGGGCTGGGCGCTTATGTCGATCTTGCATCCTGGAACAAGAATATCTGTAACTTGTCCATGGCTCTGCTAGAGGCCCAGACCTCAACCCATGCAGTGGCAAAGCCTGCCAGGTACTGAGAGGTCCTAGAGGTGAGGGGGGTAGTGTTGGAAGGAAGCAGTGGAAGATGAGAACATCTGTTGGGGAAGAAGGCATAAAGACATGAGCTAGGAGTGGAGGGAGGCTCCCTGGGTTTCCCTGTGAAGCCACGACCCCACAGCCCTGCCCTTTCTCCATAAGCCCAGCCCATCAGTGAGAGAGAGCCTAGTGGCCATGTCCATTTGTTATGAGGTAAATTGAAATCCTGGAATTTGGGAGTCACTGGCAAGGCTCAGGGGGCAATGGAAGAGAGGTGGCCAAAGCTTTCTTGCCTGGGCTCCATCTCCACATGGAAACCAAGACTACTTTCCTCAATTCGGGGCCCTGCTAGATTGAACTCTTGATGTCCATGCAGACATGGTGGACCGTTTGCCCTTCAGCTGCCAGGGACTCGGAGCCACATCTCCTGGGCCCCCACTCCCAGGGGGAGGGATGGGTAAAGCATGATGTGGAGAGTCAGGGGAAGGATGCTTTCCCTGGCAAGTCTTTCAGCATTTTCCCTGGTAGATTGTTTGATGAGAAGTTGACCTTTCCACTTTGGCGCCCTCTCTTCATCTTCTCTGCAGATCCCGAGCCTCTGTGGCATCTTAATTGTGAAGTCAGCTCTGTCCCTGGAGAGAGGCACATCTCTAGGCAGTTGTCCAAAGTGAGGGCTGTCTTGAGTCCAGGAGCCTGGGTTACCATTTCCAGAAGAGTCCTCTGCTGGCACACAGCTGACTGAGCATCCCTGGACTCTGTAACAGGGATTCAGCTGATCAACTGGAGTTTGATTCAATTCACAAAATTGTACTGAGTACCCATTGCCTGCCTGGCAATGCTGGAAGCTGGATTAGTGGGAGGTTGGTGGTGTAACTGGTAGAAAGAGAGGCCTGTCTGGCTATGGGGTCCTCTTTTTTCTTTTTTTTTTTGGAGAGATTTTCACTGTAGGGCGCGTGCGCTCGCCAGACAGACAGAGAGAGACATAGAGACAGAAAGCGAGAAATCACCCCCCAGGGGGGATGGTCACGCCGCAATCCCTTCTCCTCCATTCTCCTCTCGGGACCTTGGGCACGCACGCGCACGCGCCCGGCGTGAGTTTTAAGCCACCGGGTCCGGGACACGAACCGCGGTCGACTACGTGGGAGTCCAGCAACATAGCCATTACGCTAACTGCTGGTTCCCTATGGGGTCCTCTTTACGGCAGGTATAGAAATGATGTTTTCAAACTGAGCAATCACAGGGCCCTACATCGTCCAGAAACATAGAGTAACCAAATGTCACTATGTGTAGGAACCTTGGAGGTCATCTGGTCCAACTCTCCCATGTCACAGATGAGGAAACTGTGGCCCAGAGAACGTATGGCTTGTCTATAGAAAGGCCATCAGACTTTTCATGTCCGGTTTGCCTCTAACTTATATACCTCAGAACACTATGTTGAGAAAATTTGAACTGTAAGAATAGTATATGTAAATAAAAACAGTTCAATTACACGGAGCAACTTTATTTCAGTTATATGCGAACTCAGCACAGACAATGAGATATAGAAACCTGGTTTAATTTGCTGTCTGATCAGTAGATTGAGAGACGCTGGCCTACAGACTTCTTCCTCTCCCAGTTTCTCCCAGTTTTCTTCTCTGCTTTATGCTCACCCACTCCCACTATCACAGTCCTCTACCCACTCGCACCCTACCTAGCCTCTTCCCAGGGGTCTACCCTCAACCCCTTCTGAGACTGTAATAGTCTACGACCAAGGGGACTTTGGGCCAGGGAATCTGAGGCTCAGCTCCAATGACCAGAGATCTGGGGAGCAGGGGAGTGGGAGGTCAGGGGCAGTTTCTATCCCAGCAGGGGCACAGTGGCCTTGAGAAGCTAATGAGTGGGTGGAGAAAGGCACCTTTAAAGTGACTTATGCCCTTCAGGCTTTGGGAGCAATGGAGGCTGAAGAGCTGGCCTCCCAGGTGGGACATTTCATTTTCACTACTGTTTCTCAACACTCTCAAAGTGGCGACTCTTTGTCTTGGGAGTGGCAATGTCAGGAAAGACTGGCGCACAGTTCCTGTTGTGTGCCAGTCACTGTGGGGGACACTATCACACAGCATGGCCCAGTGGACAAGGGTATAGACCCTGGGCCAGACGGCCTGGCTAGGTACCTAGACTTTGCCACTTGCTGGTTATGTGACCTTGGGTAAGTTAGTGAACCTCTCTGTGCCTCGATTTTATCCTTGCAAAATGGGGCTAAAAGGGTATCTCAAGCCAGCCAGTGGCATAGTGGTTAAGGTGGCTGGATCCCACATGGCCAACAGAGTGGTTTGAGTCCCAGACCTGGAGGCTTAAAAACACGCCGAATATGTGTGCATGCGTGCCCAAAATCCTGGGAGAAGGGACAGTGGAGGAGAAGGGATTGTGGCATGGCCATTTCCTGTGGGGAGTGCTTTTGCATTCTCTCTCTGGGGATCGCATGTGTTCCACAGCAAAATTTTTCAAAGATAGAGAGAAAACATCTCTCGCACAGAGTTGCGGGAGGAATAAAATGAGTTAATATATGTAGAGTACTCAGACAGGGCTTGGTATGTGGAAATCACCATATGCTATTACTGCTTCTTATTAACTATTGTTATTCATAAATTACACATGATTCTCCAAACACTTGTGAAGCAGGTATTATTCCCTTCATTTCACAGATGCCTCTATGAGGAAGCTGAAGTCCAGAAGAATCGCAGAGTTAGTAATGCCTGGGACTGGAAGCTGAACCTTGAGCTCCTTCTACTCCCCAGCAGCTCCTGTCAGTCTGAGACCAAGTTAGGAAATTTACATAAGCAACTCCTAACCAGGGGTACTACCCCAGAGCTCAGCAGGATCCTGGGAAAGGGAGACAGAATTTAGAATCTCTGGATAATAGTTTTTGGAAAGGGAAGAAGGGTATGAAAAACAGAGGAAAAGAAGTGGAAAAAGAAGAGCTGGCAGCCACGCGGAAGGTGAAGTGAGAGTTGAGTGGGAGAGGCTCCCACCTCTCTCATCTGCTTCTTCAGTCACCCTGACCTTGGAGCCACCTTCTTCCAGGAAGGGGATACAAACTCCTGAGCTCTCAGCTGCCTGGCCTGGCACTCTGCATCCAGACAAGCCCAGCCTCAAAGGCTGGTGATAAGAGCCTGCGGGAGAGGCTCCAGCAGGAAGCACCCTCAGGAAATTGGGAAGCCTGGGCCTGGGCTCCCAACCCAGGGTTGCTGGACTAGGATGGGGGATGGGCCCGTGACAGGAGGTGTCCTGGGTGTCCTCTTTCGGCCCCATGGAGTCCTCATCTATCCCTCAGTCATCAGGGAACTCTTCCACTTTGGGGAGGGTCCCTCAGACCCCAGACCCTTCTACTGCCAGTGGGGTCCCGGAGGTGGGGCTGCGGGACATAGCTTCGGAGTCCGTGGCTCTCTTCTTCATGCTCCTGCTGGACTTGACTGCTGTGGCTGGCAACGCCGCTGTGATGGCCGTAATCGCCAAGACGCCCGCCCTCCGCAAATTCGTCTTCGTCTTCCACCTTTGCCTGGTGGACCTGCTGGCCGCCCTGACCCTCATGCCGCTAGCCATGCTCTCCAGCTCCGCCCTCTTTGACCACGCCCTCTTCGGGGAGGTGGCCTGCCGCCTCTACTTGTTCCTGAGCGTATGCTTTGTCAGCCTGGCCATCCTCTCCGTGTCGGCCATCAATGTGGAGCGCTACTATTACGTGGTCCACCCCATGCGCTACGAGGTGCGCATGACGCTGGGGCTGGTGGCCTCTGTACTGGTGGGCGTGTGGGTGAAGGCCTTGGCCATGGCTTCTGTGCCAGTGTTGGGAAGGGTCTCCTGGGAGGAAGGAGCTCCCAGCGTCCCTCCTGGCTGTTCACTCCAATGGAGCCATAGTGCCTACTGCCAGCTTTTCGTGGTGGTCTTTGCTGTCCTTTACTTCTTGTTGCCCCTGCTCCTCATCCTTGTGGTCTACTGTAGCATGTTTCGAGTGGCTCGTGTGGCTGCCATGCAGCACGGACCACTGCCTACGTGGATGGAGACACCCCGGCAACGCTCTGAGTCTCTCAGCAGCCGCTCCACGATGGTCACCAGCTCAGGAGCCCCCCAGACAACCCCCCACCGGACGTTTGGGGGTGGGAAGGCGGCCGTGGTCCTCCTGGCTGTGGGGGGACAGTTCCTGCTCTGTTGGTTGCCCTATTTCTCTTTCCACCTCTACGTTGCCCTGAGTGCTCAGCCCATTTCCACCGGACAGGTGGAGAACGTGGTGACCTGGATCGGCTACTTTTGCTTCACTTCTAACCCTTTCTTCTATGGATGTCTCAACCGGCAGATTCGGGGGGAGCTCAGCAAGCAGTTTGTCTGCTTCTTCAAGCCAGCTCCAGAGGAGGAGCTGAGGCTGCCTAGTCGGGAGGGCTCCATTGAAGAGAACTTCCTGCAGTTCCTTCAGGGAACTGGCTGTCCTGCCGAGTCCTGGGTTTCCAGGCCCCTTCCCAGCCCCAAGCAGGAGCCACCTGCTGTTGACTTTCGAATTCCAGGCCAGATAGCCGAGGAGACCTCTGAGTTTCTGGAGCAGCAACTCACCAGCGACATTATCATGTCGGACAGCTACCTCCGTCCTGCCCCCTCACCCCGGCTGGAGTCATGACCAGCTGCTGGACACGTGGAGGGAGAGGGGGCTGGGGGCCAGTTATGACTACAAGGACCACCTCATGGGATCACCTTTCCCAGCTGGCTGGAGCTGGGGCTGGGGTCTCCGCTCACAGCTTTTGCTGAGTGTTTCCTGGGTCAGGGACAGAGCCAACAGGATGGACATTGGGCAAAAGCCTTGGACTTGGCTGTGATCCTTGACTACTGGGGGAGGGAACCTGGGTATGGTGAGACGGTGATGAGAGGAAAGGGTCACAAAGGTGAGGTGAAGTCTCTCAACCAGTGAACTTTCCATGTTCCAAAAAAGCAGGGAAATCCTTTAAGGGCAGGACACAGGGCAGCGGGCCAGGTTTGGAGTTATTTTGGGGGACATTTAGGACATTTTATTTTTTGGTGTAATTGTCCAGGACAATAATTGCACCCAAGCAAGATAAGAACATAGGTTATGTCTTCTCATTTCCTTGCTAAGCTTAAGAAGTAAATTACATCCAAGTATTTCCATTTGAGTTAATAGATCTCTTTCAGCTTATTGAGTTTTTTTTTTTTTTTCAGAGAGGACCAGCAGGGTGTATGGGTGTATTCCTTTCCTGAGTTTGTCCAGATGCGAGGGGAAATAGCAATTAGGTACATGGAGTAGAAGGCATGAAAGCTGACTGCAGCTCTCTCCCACTCTTCAGGAAAAACCCTTCTGTTCTGTTTTTCTGTCTCTCTCCGGCACATACAAGTGCAAGCGAGGGGCTTGACTGCTTGATCTAAACAGATACAAGGCAGGATGCATGCTCCTGCCCCCACCCCGTCTTTTAGGGTGAACCATAATAGAATGATGGGGGGGTTGGATGGCTGAGGGTAGGGAGTTAGCATTTGAGTTGCTAAGGTGGCTGGATACAGAGGTCAGAATCACCTTGATGAATAACAATGTTCATCTTTTCTTTCCAGGACTGGCCTCCCTGATCTCTCTCCTCATGGAAGTGACTCACCTCCAGCCCCCTGGACAATCGGGTACAAGAGACCAAGGTTGGGCATGGGAAGGGTGAGGTTTCCATGGTCCAGTAAATGCTTCCTTACTCCCATTCATCGCTCTCAAAATTAGCTTCAGTGACAAAGACTAAAACCTCTCTCCTATCTGCAGCCCTGGGTGGGAGAGAAGGCACAGGAGTCAGGCTCAGCCCTTCACTGACTGGGATCGTAGGAAATGTGTTGGTTAGCACTGGTGGTGGTATTTTCAATGGGGAGGGACTAACTGCAAACTGGACAGGCACCTATCTGGGACCACCTGTCTATCCTTCTTCCCTCGAAATCGACTTAGCTAACACTAATGGGGCAAGGTAGGGCCAGAGGGCGTGTGGTCTATGTTTAAACAAAGAGCATCAAAGGGGAAAATGGGTTGGTGGGAATGGGATAGTTTCCCCTTTGAACAGCCAATAAATATTTTTTATGATAAAAAGTTATACTGATATCAACATTTGACTTTTTCAGTTCACTTCAGCGCATAAAAACTAAATACCATTCCCTGGGACCCACAAAGAGGATGTGCAGTCACTTCCTTTAAGGAGTTCACTTTGATCAAATAGTTTGTATTTTTACAGAGCATGTAGAGCTGATAAAGCACTCTAGGATGTGTTTGAAAAATATAGTAAACAATATATCTGTGGTTCTGAGAGTTCAATCATTGCAGCAAGATAGCTACATAGAGGCTTCCTGCAGATTGCAGAGAGTGTGGGGGTTATAAATGAAATTCTCCAGTGAAGAAAACAATTTTTAAAAAGATTTATTTTAGGCTTTTGCAATAGGGCATGTATGCTTTCTGGAGAGAGACAAAGAGAGGCAGAGAGAGGGAAAGTGAGAAGTCACCCCTCCTGGGGGGAGGGAGGAGGGTGGAACGGCCACACTGCAATCCCTTCTCTTCCATTCTCCTCCTAGGATTTTGGGTACCCAACATGTTTTTCAAGCCACCAGGTCTGGGACTCGAACCGCAGCCGGCTATGAGGGAGACCAGAGCTTTAAACACCATGCCATTTGCAGGCCCAAGAAAATAACTTATTAAATAAAACCACACTAACACAGCTTTCCCTCTTTTGATCTAGGAAAACTCCAGGTGTCTGTTTTCCTACTACTAGACTATTCTGACTAGTGCTTATCACATTGTGGAATCCCTCAGAAAGATTGTATATGTGGTGAGGAGAGTTCTCTGTGCTTGAAAAATATGTTCACCTCTTTCTTTTCTTTTTTTTAAAAAGAGGTTTTTGCTAAAGGGTGCATACGCTCGCCAGACAGACAGAGAGAGACAGAGAGACAGAAAGCGAGAAATCACCCCCCAGGGGATGGCCACACCACAATCCCTTCTCCTCTCGGGATCTTGGGCACGCACACACATGTGCCTGGTGTGAGTTTAAGCCACCAGGTCCAGGACTCGAACCACAGTCAACTACGTGGGAGTCCAGCGACATAGCCATTACACTAACTGCTGGTCCCTCTTTTCCCTTTTAAGATAAGTTCATACGGAGTTGTCCATTCCTAGGTATGGAAAAACTCTTTCAACCACTGATCAGTCAGTAGGCACCAAGCATTGCCAGCAGGTGGCAGTGTGAGCCCAGTGGAAAGGAGAAAAATTTGTGTATGTGGGGGAAGTAGGGAGAGGAAGGGCATTAAAGATGGCCTGGCAGCCATTTTGTTAATTTATTTTGCCATTCCTTTGACTGCTTTCCAACCTTTCCTTCACATATATCAAAAGAGAAAGTTTTAAGTACAAAGTTCTGTCTCATTCAGGCTGAAATTTCCTGGCACTGTGATCTCACTGGTGTTTATTATAGAGCTTGGCATACATGGGTTCATTTGCCATTAATTTTTCCCAGTAGGAGTGGATCATGAAGGAAATAAATCTCTCTTCTATTATGCAGAGAATTTTCCCAACAATTTCTGCTATGACCACCTTCCAAGAGTTTTCTAATCACCAGGATGCCTTGGTAAAATTCAATATATAATCCTTAGCACTGAAAGCTGTTCCCGAACAAAACCTCACCTCTCTAAGAATCCATGGAAGAATCAAAAGGTTAAGGCAACAATCCTGTCAGCTACTTTTTCCTGCAGCCTGGAGAGGTTGGGGTGACTCCCAATCCTAGATGCAAATCTTAAGACTTTGTATCATCAGGGGTCCTCAGGCAATAGCCCATAAAGGCATAGTAGAAAAGGGGTGAAATTGGAGTCAGACCTACTACCCATTGTGTGAACTTGGGAAAGCTGCTTAATTTTTGAGTCTATTTCCTCATCTGTTAAGAATGGAAATCACTCTTACCTACCTCACAGGGTTGTTGTGAGGATTAAGAGATGAGAACTGGACACACCTAGCCATACCTGGCAAGTAGGTACTCAATAAATATTGGTTTCTTTTCCCTTTCCTATTGGCCTTTTGCCCCAGAAGGGTTTTTTTTTTTTTTTTTTTTTTTAGATTCCCATACCTAGACATCATTGAACAAATTAATTAGAGAAATGTGTGTTCTAAATTTATTAGAAAACAGTCCTTGAGCAGCCTTGTTCACTATCCCAGGGCTGTGTTACTGTCTAACACTATTACATGAACAAAGATCGGCTGGACCAGTTCATAGAAGTACAGATAATTTTGCAGCTAAGAAAGCTCTCTGCTGCAAACTGCACAGTCTTTTCAGACCTAATCTTCAGTGAATGGAGTGCAACATTGTCGTAGAAAGTCAGTGTGACCAATTCTGTCCTCTGACTTTCATGCTGTTCCTGAAGGATTAGGATGATGCTTGGTTTATTCTCTGCATTATGTGAATTGCTTTGCAATGCCTGAGAGCTGGCTCATGCCCTGCATTTTGAAAAAAAAAAAAATCCTCATTTTTATTTTCCTCGGGATCTTGGGCACGCACGCACATACTCCCGGCGTGAGTTTTAAGCCACCGGGTCCGGGATGCAAACCGCGGTTGACTATGTGGGAATCCAGCAACAAAGCCATTATGCTAACTGCTGGTCCCCAGCACTACCTTTTAAAAAAAGATTTATTTATTTTTATTTATTATTACTATTAGTTTTTTTTTTTTAATTTTTGGAGAGGTTTTTGCTATAGGGCACGTGCTCTCACCAAACAGACAGAGAGACAGAGAGACAGAAAGCGAGAAATCACCCCCAGGGGGATGGCCTCGTCGCAATCCCTTCTTCTCCATTCTCCTCTTGGGATCTTGGGCATGCACGCACACACGCCCGGCGTGAGTTTTAAGCCACCAGGTCCAGGACACAAACCGCGGTCGACCATGTGGGAGTCCAGCGACATAGCCATTATGCTAACTACTGGTTCCATTACTATTATTTTTTAAAATCAGTAATTTGTTACAGGGCACATGTGCACACCAGAGAGAAAGTGAGAAAGCAAGGCATCAGATCTGGACTCAAACTAGTCAGCCATGTGGGAGTCCAGCACCTTAACCACCATGCCACCTGCTAGCCCCAAAGCAGTACCTTTTATTCTAACAATCTTTTGGGGATGGGTGGAAGACTAAAACTTTGAAGAAGTGGCATATGAGAATTATGGTGGTTGAAGCTGTTTAAGGTGGCTTTAATTCTCTAATTTAGCCCTTAAAATGAACCAATAATCACTATATAGACCTTTGTGTTGGGACCTTTATAGTCTATGGTTTAGATTCTATTAAGAGAAAGAAACTTTTAATCACAGGGAAAGATTTTAGAGTCTGCCAAAGGCTTCTCCTCGCTAGAATGTGTGGTTAGAATACATACTGAGATGTTTGGCAGTGAAGGTAATTTAGGGCCAAAAGTCCACAGGAGGAGACCAGCAGGTGGTGAGGTGGTTAAGATGCTGAACACTCCCACATGGCTGACCATGGTTCAAGTTCTGGACCAGGTGGCTTGCTTCCTTACTTTTCCTCTTTCTCTCTCTGTGTCTCTCTCTGGTTAACTAAAGATTAATAAGTGAATAAATAAAATAAAATGAAAATTTATAAAGCCCACGGGAATGCAGAGGAGATTGCAGTATCCCTGGGGGGAAGGAGGTGTTATTATAGCGTTTCCCTCTCTCTGTCCAGCACATTCAACTTATGCAAAAAACTTTAGAAAAAGATCATTTAGGGCCATGTTCATGGTAGTCCCCAGGGTTATCAGTGAAGGAAGGTATCAGTCTGGGGCTTTCAGTGGGGATTTGAGGTGATGCGAAAGCCGCGGCAAATTTTGCCACAACTTCCCTTTTTGTGTGGTACCACAACAGGAAATTTTAGGAGATTCACAGGATGAATGATTTGCTTCAGGGTGTGGGTCTGAGTCTGGGTTATCTTGGTTCATATCCTAAGCCCCTAACGTAGGACCAACTGGCTTGTATTGGACAGAAGGGCGGCATGCAAATTTCACGGAGGGCCAACACGCCTACCTTTGACGTTACCAAGTATCTGCTAGCCTTTTCTGGGCAGATCTGAATCCCACAGAAATTCGCATGGAACAGCACAAAAGCCAACACTTTTTAGAAACAGAAGGCAGGAGGCTCTGTCACAGGCACTTTCCTGTTACAGATCTCAGATGGGAGGCGTGGCCGGGGCCTGGCTGGGCAGTTGATTCCCATCCCATAGAGCTGACCAGACAATCTAGGTGGGCAGAGGTCCCAGGTCTCCACAGCCTGCGATCAGAGGGGCTCTCTAGCCAGCGAGAAGTCCACAACAGAAATCTCCGTGCAGGCTGTGGACTCACTTGGGAATCGCACCCACCGCGGCCCGCTGTGCGATCTCGGGAGGGCACCAGGCGGGGCAGGCTCGGCTCGCCCACGTTTATCTATTATAAATCAGGGAGCTGAGAAGATAGAAGAGAACTAAGGCCGGGCAGCGCGCAGCGAGCCTGACAGATGCCGCAGCCCCGCGGACCGGTCCACCCGCGCACAGCAGCGCAGCGCCTCCGCGACTTCCGCTTTCGGTCTCACGTACTCTCCCGGAGCGAGAGTGGTTCGAGCGGTAACGGCTGCGGGGCGTCGCCGGAAGTGTCGTAGACGCCGGATATCCGGTCCCGCGGGGCACTGGGGAGCTGACGGAGAGGGCCGCCGCCCAGCTGGAGAAGCGCTCTCGGCCAGCCCAGC